GGACAATGAATTTAACCCTCGACCTCAATAGCAGTACACAACACACCGCCTTGCTATCCTACATATATCTATAAAATTTCATAAAGCTATCTTCAGTAATTTAGCAGTTCTGGCCTGGACAATGAATTTAACCCTCGACCTCAATGCGACCTTGCCCTTGGGCATACAGACCCAATAGCAGTACACAACACACTGCCTTTCCATCTTAATTACAAATGTACATTGATGTTCTTAAAATTTCATTGTGGCATCTTCAGCAAGTTATTGCTGGGACCATCTTTTGAATGGACAAAGTGGCGACTTTATGAACCCCAATATGCTTTTTCAGCGAGTATAACAAATTTGAAATATAACAAGCGACCAATAGGTCTTGATGGTCATCTGACTGAAACTATGAATGATACACATACTGGAAGCCAGCCACTTCTCGAGTATAACTTGTGATCCTTGTCATCTACATTTAAGGATCATTTTATGTGTCCAGTAAGTTTTGGAGCAGACTGATTTTTAAGGGTTTTGTACTCTTTGTTCCTCTTATGGTCCCACCCCTCAGCAGTCTGGTTAGTCAACCCCTTCTTGAATCTTAAGTCTGGTCATGATCATTATCTAAGGACGATTTCATGCAATGTTTCTCTCAGACAACCAGATGGAATGTTGTTTGCAGGTTTGGCACGGATAAGTGTGGCATTGACTATAGATCGTACTGATCCTCATCATCTAAGCTTCATGAAAAAAAGGTTTGGTCTAAATCCACAATTATTTATAAAAAGATGTTTTTTTAGATTCTGCACACACTAAGTAACCCGTATCAGTGCCCTGGGGAGTCAGTCCCTCCTAAAGTTGAAAATCTGATCTTCATTATCTATAGATCATCTTATAAAATAACATTAACTCTCACAGAAAGTGTCATGTTAAGATTTTGCACTCTGTGACCCCTTATAATGCTAAACCTCAACCCTGTAGGGGATCAGCCTCTTTTTATATAATTAAGATCCTGATCATCTGAAGTGTCCTTATCTGAAATGTCAATCAAAGTTCATGATATGTTTCAGAGGAGATTCTTTGTGAAGGGTATGCATAAGTGACCCCTAATGGCCCTGCAAAGCCTCTTCTTGAATATAGAATCTGATCCCTACCACAGACTCATGTAACCATCAAGTTTCATCAAAATATGACATTTTCTGATCATAAGGAGAAGGTAAAAATACAAAACACACAATAGGTCATCTGACTACCTTTGTTTATGAAGCCAGCCTCTAAATTCAGGATTTTCTCTCTGAATACGATTTGCCAGTGTTTTCAATATTTGTACCATATCTTGCATTTTCGTCTGAAAAAGACAAAATCATGAAATAGTAAAACATGTTTCATATACCAAATACAAGTTGACATAAACAATAAGTTCTCTTCAATAACATATGTTTTTAACAATCCCCAGGGGAGGTAAGAAAAAGACAACCCTATCGGGACATAAAAATTAGCTATTCATATTAAGACATTTTTATAATGATCCCCAGGGGACATTATATAATTTTCTCTTTGGTAAAACAGGTTTACATCATTTTTGTTTTGTTTTATTACAATTACAAAAAAGTTTTTTTAACTTCTTGATTAGAAAAATAAAAGGCCCAGAGGGCCTGTATCGCTCACCTGGATATCTAAGCAGTCATAGCAAATTATTCCCATTAAATATTATACTGTACTACAAATATTTCAATCGCAAACTTTGTCAGGTCAATCTGTTGAAGCTACCAGACGAATCTTATGAACCATGCGCTTAAATTCTTTAGAACAAGTCTTTTGAAGTGTTGTTGACCTCTGTGAGGTCGAGGTTGAGGTCATTTTCAATCGCATGCTTTGATGAGCTCTATCCAAAGAAGCTACCAGCCAAACATTATGATTCTATGCCTTTCAATTATTCATTGGAAGTCATTTGATGTTTTTGACATATTTGACCCTAGTGACCTTGATAGAAGGTCAAGGTAATTTTCACTCGCAGACTTTGTCGGGCTCTTATGAATGAAGCTTTCGGCCAAATATCATGACTCTAGGCCTGTCCATTATTCAGAGGAAGTCATTTGATGCATTTGACATATTTTGACCCATATTACCTTGAAGCAGATCAAGGTCATTTTTGTTCTCAAACTTTGTTGGGCTCCACCAAAAGAAGCTACCAGCCAAATATTAACACTCTATACCTTTCAGTTCTTCAGAAGAAGTCTTTGAAGTGTTTGACCCATTTGACCCATGTGACCTTGAAAGTAGGTCAAGGTTATTTTCGTTCTCAAACTTTGTCAGGCTCTTACGAATGAATATTTCAGGCAAATATGATGACTCTAGGCCTGTCCATTATTCAGAAGAAGTCGTTTAAAGGAAAAGTTGACAGACGACGATGGACGGACGCCAGACGCCGCACCATGACATAAGCTCACTTGCCCTTCTGGCAGGTGAGCTAAAAATGCAATATCACACACATTAATAAATGTGAATCTAACAATGTGAATCCATAGATGTGAAAGGATCTTGTGTTAAGCCCTATTCATTCAGTCACCACTAATCCACATATATCATTAAACATATCCAGCCAGTATTTTTGGGGAAAGATTTCTATTTCTTTTTATTCAAAATAATTGACATGCAGTCAAACCACTTCAACAAAGAAATAATAATGCTGTGCTATTCCAAGCTAATTAAAAACAGCCCCTGTGAACAGTGACAAAAAATGACTCTTATATAGATTCTTATGTTCATGCATTAATAGTGAAAATATTCCTTTTATAAGACATATGATTAACATTTAATTTACCTTGAGCTGTTCTTCGTAGGGAACTTTCCACAATGGGGACACAGCATTCTTCAGTCTACAATCAAATAAAACAAAATGTTAGTTCTTCACTTATGAGGCCAGTACCAATCAAAAACACCCCAGACAAGAATTCCATGGGAGTGGATGTGTCGCCTGCTCAGGGCTTTTAGTAAGAAAAGTTGAAACTCGACAGAAAAACAAGAGGCCCATGGGCCTTAACGGTCACTGGAGTCCTACAGTATTATTTTTTGTTGTTAAAATATGAAGTGGAGATAATGATGTCAATCATCCCTACCAAAATTTGATCGACCCGAAACATAACAACCCTTTGTCAGGACCATGAGTTGATCATTCCTACCAAGTTTCAGTTAAATCGGCCCAGTAGAACTTGACTTTAAATTTGAAATAGTTTTTCAAAATGGCCTGCCTTGGCGACCATATTGTATTTCTGAACGACCCAAAAATTAACAACACTCTGTCAGGACCATGAGTTGACCATTCCTACCAAGTTTCAGTCAATCTGATTAAAATCATATGTTACATGGCTTCGTTAACTTCGTACTACGCCTGAACATCTGAATGTGCCGCGGTTAGGGTCAGGTTCAAGTGACCTTTAGATGAACCAATCAGAAGCGCGCTGGCAAAAGTTTGCCAGCAAAATTGGAATATCATGGTCGATAGATAAGTAGCGAGGGGTAACGAACGCCACGGAAAACGTACCCATTGGGTAATAATTTCGTAGGCAACACCGCCATACAGTCTTTCTTCTCTAATAAAGTTTCGAATACCTTTTTCTGTTCGTGTTTCAGACGATCAATCTCAAATAACTTCAGAACTTTCGCATCACTGTAACACACCAGTTTTGGTTACTACAGATCATTCTCATTAATGTCCGCCATATTTGTTACAACTCTGAGCGCCTTTTTGAAAGAGGGTCTCTGATTGGTCAAAATATAATGAGTATTTAAAAATATAAAGGTCACCTGAACGTGACCCTGACTGCGGCACACTCAGATGTATAGGCGGAGCCATGTAACAGATGATTTTAATCAGATTGAGTTTCAGTTAAATTATTTTTTCAAAATGGCGGCCATATTGGATTTCTGATCGACCCAAAAAATAACAACACTTGGTCAGGGAGTTGTCAGTAACATTCCCATGAAGTATCAATGAAATCCCTTTAACAGTATTTCAGCTTAAAGTTGAAAATGTAAAATGTTAACGGATGACGCACGACGACAGACGAAGACAGATAAAGCTCAGGTGACCTTAAAAATGCACGTAAACTTCTGAAATGCGAACTTGATCAAGCTATATTAGTATGCAATATGTGTACCAAGTTTGAGTTCAATCAACCCAAGGGAACTCAAGTGTTCGCACAGAAATCTTGTTTCGGATGACACAACCGACGCTGTCGACAAAGTAATACCTATATGTGGCCCCGTGTTGCAGACAACACAACAAAGGTAATAGAGATTTTACGACTATAGTGTTTTCCCAATGTATTGGGGTTATAAAAAGCTAATTTTTAAAATAATTCGACCACCATACAGCAAATCTCCCTCACCTGAAATATTAATTCTCCCTTACCTGATAGGGTGAGTTCTCTCATCTGATTCCTTAAGTGACATTGGCTGTTAATAGGACTTTAAATAAAATAAAACAGTAACCAAACCCTCACCCGATACATCAAGTACTCTCACCTAATCTCTGGTGGTAGGTCGTCCTCCATTTTGTCTTTCTTATTTGGGGGTTCATCTGAGCAATGGAAAAGAAATGTCAGTCTTTTATACATGTATACATAAAATGTAATGTGCTTTAAAGAAGAGTCTCAGAGGGCCTGTCTCGCTCACCGGAATATTTAAGCAGTCATAGCAAAATATTCTCATTAAATATTATATTGCTCTACAAATATTTCCCTCCCAAACTTTGTCGGCTCCATCTGTTAAAACTACCAGTCAAATATTATGATAAGATTTTATGCTTTTTGGTTCTTCTTCAGAAGTTGTTTGACATGTTTTCCCCTATGACCTTGTAAGTAGGTCAATGTCTTTTTCCTTCTAAAAATTTGTTAGCTCTATCCCAAAAAGCTACAAGCCAAATCTTATGAATCCATTCCTTTTGGTTCTTCAGAACAAATCCTTTGAAATGTTGTTGACCTCTGTGACCTTTAAAATAGGTTGAGGTAATTTTCCTTTGCAAACTTTGGTGAGCTCTATCCAAGGAAGCCACCAGCAAATATTATAATTTCATGCCTTTCGATTATTCAGAAGAAGTCGTTTTTGATGTTTTCGACATATTTGACACATGTAACCTTGAAAGTAGTTCAAGGTCATTTTCATTCTCAAACTTTGTTGGGCTTTATCCCAGGAAGCCACCAGCCAAACATGAAGATTCTATACCTTTTAGTTCTTCAGGAAAAGTTGTTTGAAGCATCTCACATATTTGACCCCTGTGACCTTGAAAGAAAGTCAAGGTCATTTTCATTATCAAACTTTGTCGGGTTCTATCCCAGGAATTGGTCAGCCAAATATAAAACCTCTGTAACTTTCAGTTCTTCAGAAGAATTCGTTCGAAGGGTGTGACACATTTGACCCATGTGACCTTGAAATTTAGTCAAGGTAATTTTCATTCTCAAACTTTGTCAGGTTCTATCTCAGGAAGCCACCAGCCAAATTTGAAATTCTATACCTTTCAGTTCTTCAGAAGAAGTTGTTTGAAGTGTTTGACACATTTGACCTATGTGACCTTGAAAGTTGGTCAAGGTCATTTTCGTTCTCAATCTTTGTCGGGCTCCTACCAACAAAGCTTTCAGTCAAATATCATGACTTTATGCCTGTTCATTCTTCAGAAGAAGTCGTTTAAAAGAAAAGTTGACGGACGACGGACGGGCGGACGGACGATGCACCATGACATAAGCTCACTAGCCCTTCGGGTATGTGAGCTAAAAATGATAAGATCATTAAATTATTATTCATTGTTATTATATCCAGATAATATTACAGTTATAGATTTTTTGTATTGATAATTCATCCCATGTTTTAGACACAGACATCAAATACTAAGTACTATACCATTGGATGAATTATATTTTATGAGTATGGAGGAAATAACATTTAACAGAAAAATAACTTTTCAGAGCCTTTCATCCTCCAAATCCAAGGTGTCCGCTCATTTGGGAATCTCAAAGGGGCAAATTGAGAAAATCACATATTTTTTCAAATACATGTAAGAATGGTTCCATCAAACAATCTTAAAAATACCCTGATAAACCCCTGTCATATAATTCGAAAAAGAGGACCGGAGGGGGCAACAATATTATAACCCCATCCTATCCCATGCCAAAACTGACAATCCTTCTGATGCATTCTTGTATTAAAATGTATAACAATATTAAAATGTAATAAAAGACAGAACTTCATTTGTTCTGTGTTACTCCGAATAGTTTCTGGGATGTGATGACATCGCAAAACATACTGTTCTTTACCCACTTAAGCTGAAAGAATATATGACATTTAAAAAGATTCATTTGCACAGGAATTGCTTCCCTATGCCTATAAATGTTTCATATCAAACCATTATAATCCAAGAGTGATGATTATACATAATTAGTGGCCGATATAATTAATTGTAAAAATTGACCAAGTCTTAACAAAAATCTACAATTCCTTCTCATTATTCCCACCTATCTTCTGTTCAGAGTCCCGTTTCCTCTTCTGGACAAGTGGATCCATTGTAGCTGGCGCCTTTTTCACCTTGAGTTTCCGTTCCTTCCAAACATGGCCAGTAATCTTCCTGGTAGCGTCTTCTCTTTCCTCTTCACTCCTGTGTTGATAATACATGCATACAGAGAGGGAAAATTACTTGAACTACATGTATCACAATTAATGTGTAATGTCAAAATTATATATATATAAAAAAAAAAAAAAAATGTGTATCATATATATATGTATACTATAAAAATTTCATATACTCAATTCAACTATGATACAAAAAGTATATATATGTATAACGATTTTTTTTTATATAATTTACATCAAAGAAACAAGTAATTGAAAGCTAAACTAATAGGCAAAGACACCCGGGGCAGCATATATACCACTCCCTTATACAAATAATGGCCAGAGCAGCATTGGTAGTCAATACATAAATTAGGAAGGGGTTTAACTCCTGAAATTGTAGTTATTGCATTTATAGTCATTCATTGTTATGGTAATGACTAATTGGACCATAAATAAGCCTAGTTCAGTTTAGCTTACAACTGTTGGACATTGAGACCAGGCAGTGTCTGTACAAATTTGGAGCAACATAAATTTGTGAGATAGCACCAGAAACAAAGGGTCTAAAATTGTGATACACACGCTCAGATGATGAGAGTTGACAGGTATATTGTTAGCTCAAAGTTAGATTATGGAAATTTCTATTTTTAGTAACATTGACTTAAACCTTTCACAAACCACACTCAAATGAGATGCGTTCTTCGTCTCCTGTAGGTAAACTCACAATGAACTTTGTTCTGAGGTGAGTATCTGGCAATAATCAATTTTCAGAAAGAGTGACCTTGACATTTGCTAAACCATGCCTAAAATCAAAAGAGTTCTTCCTCTAAATTTAGGCTTCTCACACTAAGTCTGAGCTTTGTGTGATCGTTAGTTCTTCAGGTTGTACTGGTACAAGAAAATTCTAATTTTAGTAACAGTAACCTTGACCTTTGACAGTTCACACTTAAAAATTCATAGGGTTCATTCTTCTTTCCGAGAGCAAGTCATGTACCAAGTCTGACATTTGTTCTGAATTGAGGATCTGGACAATACATTTTTACCTTAAATAAAAGCGACCTTGATCTCTGAAAAATCTTTCCCAAAATCAAAAGGGTTTTTCTTCTTCCCTAAGACAAACCACACACCAAGTTAAAGCATTGTGTGATCATTTATTCTGAAGTTAGTATCAGTACAATCAGGTAAATTCTTAAAGGAACTGAATACAATATTGTTATCAAACTATTGACACTGTAAGCAACCCTCTCAGTCCAATGGTTGTCTTTCATATTCTGACTTTTCAATTGCAACTGATCAATTCACATATAACTAACCACTTACAATGGAGATTGTACAGTAACACTAACTATACTGATGAACATTGTTGTGCCCAGCCACATATGGAAACTTAACATCCAGTGGCATAGCCAAATTTACAGCATTAGTTAAAAAAAATGTTGGATGTTAATGACAAGTTTGAACTCTAAAACAAACGGTACATACCTAAATGTTGCAAATGCAAAACCTTTCCTTTCGATGGCCTTGATTTTGACTGGTTTCACATCCAAAGATGCCAGCCGTTTCTTCAGTTGCTGCAAAATTACACATACACTAGTTATAACCAAAGTAAAAAAAAAAAGAATTAGATAATATGCAAATCACACAAATATTGAAACATGATTGTTTATAAAGAGGTTTGTATGCATAATATTGTATACAGATTCATATAGCACAACCAGTGGACTATTTATGTTAGCTGTTTTGACTGTCACCTTCACCAGGCAAATAACCAGTGAAGCATATGTACAATAAAGTGTACGATATGTACAAGTTCGCAAAATAATGGCTGTCGATTTGGCATTTAGTTGTTATAAATGTATGAAAGGACAATCAAATTTCCAAACAATTCAGCTACTCTTTGTTTTATCCCTGGTGATATATGTGCGAGATTCTATGAACCCTCACCTCAAAGAAATTGAAAGAGATAGCCCCAGATAAAGCAAAGCCATCTTGATACACCACAGTTGGCAGGCCAGTGAAGTTATCCCAAATGTAAACGGACAAGTGGTTAAGCAATTAAACCCTTTCACCACTGTAGACCACCATGGACTCATCCATATCAATGCACGGTTTAAAGCTCTATTTGAAATCTTTAACCGTCTTTCTAAACATTAATTTTGTTGTTATCTATTTTTATTTTGTAAGCACTTCTTAAAGGCAGAAAACATTTCTACTGATAAAATTTACTCTCCAACCAAAATTTGAATTTTGTTTACCTTAAATCCAAACCTTGGTAAGTTAAGAATTTCTATTTTAAATATTTCTGAAGTGAATAAGACAGTTTTAGTAGTAGATGATGGATCCTGGTCTGTGGATTCTTCTTCATCTTCCTCGTCCTTCTCATCTCCAACATCTTCACTCCTTCCAGCTTCATCCTTATTTCCTACATCTTCACTCATTCCAACCTCATCCCTGTTGACTGATGTGCCACAGTTGTCACTGTCTGCTCCTACTGACTCACGGACATGTTCCCCAATCTCTCCCTGTTTGCCTGCTGTGGAACTAACTTGCTGATCTTCTGTTATATTCCCCGTCCTATCAGGCCCAACTGTGGGCTCAAATGCTGTGGCCGTTGAGTCACATTCCATTCTGAATTGTATACATTATATCAACAATAATAGGTTAAATATGGCAGGAATAACTTAATGACTCATTTGATATCCAATTATAACTCGGGTGAAAACAAAACACAGCTGAAGGAACTTCATCAACTCATCTTGTGAATTGGATTGACACTGACACACAATGAAAACTATCTTATGAATAAACAAGAGGTCTAAGGGGCCTGTATTTGTAAACAATTCTAATTAAAAGAAATATTGCAACAAGTCTCCAGGGGTGAGATAAAACCCCAGGGAATAGTGTGGTAGTATGATATCGTTCATCTCTTCATAAAGTTCATGCTGAGACAGCAATTACATATATATGTAGCAATAGGGTGGTGATCTGAACCATTTGTGACTTATGACCAAAGAACAAGTCCACAACAGCAAATAATGTCTCTTTGTGTCCAGCAGTTGTATATATGATTAAAGCACAGGGATCTACTTTCATATTCTGCCAAAGAACTTATAGAAATAAGTGCAAATGTCACCACATAAAGCTGTCCTTGGAGGTGGTATTACATTGTTCTTGATATTAAATATTGAACCAAATAATTAAGTTGTTTAGTGGCAGTTCGTGAATAGTAAGCCAGGAAAAAAATGGAAAGTTATCCAAATGAATACAGTAAACCAAGTAAGTTCTTATCTGTCAAAATTTGATAGATGCATGGAATTAGACAAGATGCTATCTAACTTTATGATATATCATACTATTCGTTTCCTAAATAAATGTATTTTTGGTCTGGCCGTTGCATTTTTCTATTACATATGAAGGGTTCTGCTCAACCAAGAGTACATGTAGTAATGACCAAGGGACTGCGACAAGACACCTTTCAAAAGTATATCAGTTTCTAGTATAGTTTTTACATGTTCAGTACTAGACATTATATAAACTTTATTTAATTTTCAACAATTATGAAACAAGTTGTTTTATGTTAATGTGCGCAGGGGGTGGGTCTTATGTGGGGAAAATCAGAGGTAACCCGGAGAAAACCTGCACGTGGTCGGGCAGGTGACCCATGCCTTTTCACGTCCAATCGGGGAATCAAACCCGGCCGCCTTGGTGAAAAGGCAAATGCGCTAGCCACTGCACCAGCCGACCACCCTAGACAAAAAGGGAGTAAGATATTCCACATTTTGTCAACTTGAACCCGGAAATTATTAACTCTTCAAAAATCGGTGTTAATATTTGCCTGTGATCAATGTTACCATTTCATTTATGTAGCCTTTAATTACGTATCGACGATATGCTAACTGTAAATCGATTCGGCAGTGTAGGACTTGTTGATTTCAGTTTCAGACAAATCAAGGTGTTATCATTTTGAGTAAGAATGTGTTTGAAACAGTGTTAGGTATATGTGAATTGTCCAATTAGCAAGTGTTACGGCGTATTAACGTGTCTTACCTATTTCTCTGGTCCGTGTTATCAATGGAAAATGAAAGCACACGCTACTTCCGGTTTGAGATGAAAGTAATAAACAAACCGGGACGTTCGGTACGTTCCGGATTAGAGACACATATAATCAGTGGATGTTCTAGTACAGAAGTGTTACGTTCCACTTCCACGTGATGACCGCAAAACGAATGACTTTTGTTCGGGAAACTTGTATCTCCGGAACGACATACTAACCAGCAGAATACGCTGGCTATGCAATATTGCGGAGGTGATTATAAAATCCCGCCAAGCATTCCGATGCATCGGGGAAAATAAAAAAAAAAGAGTTTTCGGCAATTTTCATATTTCCCCTTTTTCATTGTGTGAATATATTTGGAACTGTAACAACGATAAAAATGAAAAGAAGCATTGCTTATTAAACGCAACAAATGTTATAGAAACCTTTTATTATGATGGATTTATTATTATTCTCAGTCTTAATACAAAATATTCTTTGTTATTAAGCTGCATTGTGATCTTAATTATATGTTTTATTCTAAATTGTGATATCTTGTCATAACATGCCTATTTTACCTAAATAAATATTATTGTTTTCGTTTTTATCGAAATTGTAAGGATAAACGTGATTATCTATAAAAACAGGAGAAATGTTCTATTTACTTCGTATTTCAATTATCTTCATTCACAATAATATGCACGCCTGGACGACAGTTGTCCCCCTGCAAAAACACCTATGTTATAAAATCTCGTAATGCACCCCCTGTTCAGAACACCTCTACTTCTGTATTGGATATGGGAAGCGCCCGAATCGTTCCGAGTAAAATCCGGATTTGCGACAAACCAGGGAGAGGAAATACTTAATTCTCTAGAAAAGGAGAGTGAATGTCATAACGGACTCGGATAGTGAATTAATCATGGCGTTTCATCTGCAATGCATACTATAGTAGTAGTCGGACTAATAATTACTGACAGCAGCGATTTGAAACGATATTTATTCAGAATTGACTGGATATCATCTTGTAATAATCTGTTTCAGTTGACATTGTTGATTAAATTATCTAATTGTTTTTCCTGTTGACTTGATTTTTTGTTACTTGAACATATGATAAAAAGTGTATAATATGACCATTTTGATATCATATCCCTTATCAGCCCTCGGTCCTGATATCAGCCCTCGGGGCCTTGATGAAGAGACCCTGCATGACGCGATGGTGACGTTTTCAGAATAAAAGCCTGAGTGAGTTGTCTTTCCTAAAGCGGGTAAAGGCTAAATGAATCTTATATGGATATGGTCCGTGGATAGGGAAGTCTCAGCCTGAGAGCTAGGCCGTTCACCTTTTTCGGACTTCACCCGTGTTGGTCCCTTTCCTCCCAAACCCGAAATAATCAAGCAGACCGATGTCAATACTATACACATGTTCATATCCTTATATTCCATGACAGGCGCGTATGCATACAATTATGTTAGTTTCATTCATTAAAGGAGCACTGTCCCACTTGCACTGCCATTTTCCTATATACAGTAACCTCCCTTTAACTTCCGTTTGTATGATAATAGCAGGAAAATTGAGATTAGCATGCATGAATATTCATGAGTAGCGGCAAGGTGCACGAGCTTTGTGTGAAGGTACACGTGATGAATGGGAGTACAGGTGTGATAGAGGGTCATTCTAGCCAGAGACCCCCATGGCAGAACATCGGTTTTTTAAAAACAATAACAATTATATATATTTAAGGACATAGTTGTAAAAGGTAGTCGAGGTAGAAACAACAAAAGTTTACTATGTCCCCCAAACTTGGGGATTTCTTCTTCTTCTTAACTTTTGTTATATTTGACGCATCAAAATAAAATTTTGAGGGAAATATCGGTATAGGACGTGCTTTAAAGTCGAATAAAAAAATTGACATCGTCAACAAAATGGCCGCCATGAATTTTGAGAAATTTTTGGGAATTTAAAATTTCTAAAGGTGTTCGCTAAGCATAGCCAATGTCACCTATCCTATTTTACATGTTTTATAGATATTTTCCAATGCATTCCAAATTTGGCATGTAGGTGTATGATGGAACCGTGAATTCGACCATGACATCCGTTTTCTAATTAGACAAAATTACTTCCCCATATATATATATATGACAAAGACAGCAGTTATATGATTTTTGGCCGTTTTATTGATAATACAACAACATATATGTATACAAAAAGCCCTTTCACCCCGGATCAAACTTTAATTAGTCCATTTGCAAGTCCATTACTCACTGTCATAAATTTGACTGGGGTGAAAGGGCTACACAGAAATTCAGGCAACAATCACTTCCGGCACTATGAGCATATAACATTTACTTCCGGCACTAGCAAGCAACATTCACTTCCGGCACTAAAAAGCAACATTCACTTCCGGAACAATTAAGCAAGCAGCATTCAATTTATCAAACAGTAGTTAAATATTATATATACACAATTGGTCAAATTCACATTATAGCGAATTAGTAGCAAATAATATCAGTATAGTTTACCAAATCTTGACAAATAATAATGATACAAATATACTGTACATACACAAGCACATCTAGCAACAAATACAAGTGACATGCGATGAATTAGCATAATTTAACATAAATTTAACCGCTGTGAGAACTCTTATTATTGGGTGGGTTGGGTGGGTTTTTCAAGACAAATAAAAAACGATCCTGTCATCTCGGGATCTTAAAAGAGATTGAAGAAAATTTTAAGGGACGCTAACTCAAAACCACCTGATAAGACTGACCAATGGGAGCCATATGCAGATGAGAGAGGTGACCCCCACGGACTGGTCAAGCTCGGGCCAGTGAACAGAAATTCCCGAGTCTGTGAACAGATTTCACTCTAGTGTTACACCACCCTATAATTTGTCAACAAAACACAAATTATAACATATATATACAGAGTTGTAATTAACCATTTTGGAACAAAATATACAAATGGCTGCCACATACTGGTTACTGATTGGTCGAAACTCTGTTATTGTTCGATTTCGTTCATTATACGTCCCTGGTATTAGCTAGGGGACTGCGAATTCAATCGCATATTGCCATATCAACCACACGGTGTCTTCTGATTGGTCGAAATTAAGATCGTGTTCGATTTTGATGAAATTCAATATATAGGGGTATTAAAGGACTGCAAATTCAATCGCAAGCTGCGACTCAGAAATTAGGTCCCTAGGGTTATGACCAGACCCCAGGATTAATTCTAATATCATGACTGCATTTGTCTCCTTTTGCCCAGCATTTATATTTATAGTTTTGGGGTGGGGATCTCAACCGTTTCAAAGTTATGTAAGGGTTACGTCTGCAAGGGTGGGGCAGACAAAGGAACCAAACAGAGGCCTCTATATTGGTCGCAATTTAGAAATTGTTCGATTTCACTCAAATTTAGTACATTTTCTGATCCATCTTTGCGACTATGGGGTAGATAATGATTGATTTTGATTAAGAAATGGTATATTGGGGTATTAGTGGACTGCGAATTCAACCGCATAGGTTTCGTTGCCATAGCAACCTCATAGCAACCACACGGAGGCTTGTGATTGGTCGAAATTTAGATATTGTTTGATGTTTTATGAAAATTGGTATATAGGGGTATTAGGGGACTGCAAATTCAACTGCATAGATTTCGTTGCCATACCAACAACATAGAGGCTGTTCAGATTGGTCGAAATTCAGATATTGTTCGATTTCATTCAAAAGTATGAAGGTGTTTTATGCCATTGTGATCCTTTTCTGATGTATCTTTGCGACTATGAGGGCAGTTTGGGGAACTTCTGTAATGGTCCCCCATTACAATTTGTACTGTTTTTTTTTATGTCTTTGCGACATAGAGATTATAGGTATTGACCTGTGGATCAAAAAGGGGTAAAACGTCAGAAGGTTTTTCAGAGTTTTTGTCTTATTAAGTTTCATCTCTGGTTTTAAACCCTGGATGTTGTATAAGCACATGCTGTATATATGTGCTTATACTTATTAGGTTGATATGAGAGAGAGTTGATATATATTTGTCAATATATACATTACATTTACATGCATCAAAATCCTGTTGCAAAATAAAAGTGGGATCATCAAGTTTGTCGGGCAGGCTACTTCCAAAAAGTATTTTGGTGTTCGAGTTATATATTGTTCGGAAAAAAGGGTTTTCTTCATTAAGTATATCACAGATCTCCACTGTCCAGTTAGCCCAATAGTTACCTGTAATTAACATCTATTGTACCACAACTGACACTGAGGTGTAACCTGTCCAACCTGTAAATCATACGTGTACATAGCAAAAATATCCAAATGTTTGGTAAGTGAGAAAAACATTTAGTTATTGTTGCTTTCATAATTATTAAACAGTATATAAATATGACATTCGCCTCGGGTGACAATGGTTTTCTCGGGTTGACAATATTCACTGTCATATGAATGTCATATCTATTTTGTTAGATTTTGTTTCAAAAGTCTTTGTAGCTCAGAAACGGCAGCAAACATCGATAATGACATCATGTTTGTTGATAGTCTGCTGTTTACAATCGCTATCGCACCGGCGCTTGATAAAATTGGCTGTTGCCGTCAAACGTTCTTGTGACCATCACGGTGGGGAAACGAAGCGGTGAACGCATATTTTTCGCGCATGTGATATTTTTCACTCTCTCATGGCAATATCACCCACGGGTACACCTGTTAGTCGCGCGCTCACCTAACCTGTTTAGTTTAAATCAATTTTATTGCAACAAAAGACAAATGGATTGGACAAAAGTTATTGCAACTTACTTACGTCCTTTCCGTAACAGAAAATATATATACAAAATTAAAGTGTCACGTAATAACCTAATACAAATTTATATATGTATATATATATATATAAGATGTTAAAGATGGGTTACAGCAAAAGAGGTAATGATAGGATTAGGGACACCAACGTATAGTTTTTAAATATGTATTGGAGAGTTTACTTGAGATCGCGTGTGTGATTTTCCCAATTGAGTCGGCGTAAGTAGTATACCTAATCTATAAACTCATATCCTTCTGCTTTTCTAAAGTT